AGGCAGAGGGGGAAGCTCCTTCAGGAACCTCCTTGTTTTTGCTTCAGTCCTCCCTGGAGAGGAGGTGGCCTTGCTGCTGGTGTCCCCTGAAGGGGGGCAGGTTTGTGCTGTCACTGCTGCCAAGCATGATCTTCACTTGGCACAAAACCAGGAGTCAGCCCAGGTGGGTTAGACCAGACACATGCTGGGAGTGACTGGCAGGGACATGGGGATGAGCATGGGGGGTGTTTGTGTGCATTAATCCTAAAATCATGCTGAGAGAAACAGTGCTCTGGGGTGTATTCTCCTGTGTCCTCCCAGTGCTGTACTCTCACGTCTGAGTTTGATTTGAGCAGGTGAATGACTCGAGAGCCCATTAGTGAGCATTTGACCTGCTGTGTTCCCCATTTCCCTTCCCACTCTGACACTCCCTGTAATTTATGTAGCTATTACACTTCAGCTGTAACTCAATTCCCGGATTTGTTCCTTTTCCAGAAATTAGTACTGAAAGTCATAGCAGTGATGGAGGGCTTGGAATAACCACCAAGTTATTTGTCTATTTAACATACATTTTTAAAAAAATAGCATTTTAATGTTTGGGAGAGCACAAGGAAGCTGACTGTACTTCAGAAGTTCAGGACAGGTTTTCAGACTCTTCAAATTTGAAGCTGCACCATCAACACTGAGTGATATCACTAAAGAAATGTGAAATGCAGAGCTACCCTCTTCCCCCTTCCTATTCCCCTTGCAGATTAAAAAGCAGGGCAGAAAAACAATGCTATTCTGACTTATTTATCTTTATCCAGTTCCTCTGTCAGTAAGGGGATGAAGCAAAAAATTCAGAACAAAGTAACTTAAAAAAATCAAAGGATTAAAGCACCATGTATGTGATCCTGATGAATTGGATGATTCAGAAGATGTTAACCAGAGCAGCAGCTGTAATGGAAGGAGAGTCTGTAACAAACAGGTTTTCTGATTTATCGGGGTAATCAAGCATAGAAGTGGGCAGGCACTGGGTGGTACAGAATACCAACATTTTTTTTGTGCTGCCTGGGAGATATATTTGAACCTCTAGGGAAGAATTGCCCTCTCCCCCTTAATTCCCCTGAAGATTTTTTTCCTTTTTTCCCTGAAAATGAAAGCAGGGAGCAAGCATTTCCCTGAATCCCATTTTGAATCTCTCTAAATTTGAAATGGTTATTGCTTGTTTATTATTTTTGGCAATGTAATGACCCTCACAGGAGAGAATAATCCTGAGTGGTGAGGACTCCATTCCCTAACATAAGGGAGATAATGAGGGTGGGGAACCTGGCAAATACAAATCTAGAGATGCTGCTCTGCTTAGGAAACAATTGCCCTGTGCTGTTTTCAGGGTGGTTTATTCTGATAGCAGCTACTGGTCCTTGGGTTGAAGACTTCTAAGAACACACCTCTGAATTACTCTTAAGCCCATCTCTGATGCTTTTTTCCTTGCTTGCTAAGGCAATATCCCAACCTCTCTTTCATGTGTAAAAACAACAGGAGCATGATGCAGACAAAGTTTAACATGACCTGATCGTGCTCAGGTTCTTAGAGATAATAACCTACATCCAGTGTAGTGGGACTGAGGCTTTCATCCGGTTTTGTCCCCTCTAATACCCATCACAGAACGGGCTGTGCAGGTCTGCACTCAGGGAGCATGTCCCAGGCTCTCTAAGGCTACTCCCTGAAATCCCTTGAGTGATATATTTGCTGAAAAATGACAAGTCTTGGAATTCTCAGCATGGGAGTTTTCTCCTGCACAGCCATTTTCTTCTTTGGATCCCATCCCCAAAGAGAATCCCTATCTAGCCTTGACTGGGCATTTTGAGCTTATACATGTCTGGTTGCATCATCTGTTTCTTTGGTTTTATTACTTATGGGTATTTTCCAAGGTGTGCCCAGCAGCACGGTGTGCTCATCTCAGTCCCATCCACAGCACCTTGCAAAGCTGCCTCTGTGCAACACCAGCCATAAGTAATCCATGTGTGTCAATTCCAGCCATTCCTGACTGGAAGGAGGAAAGCTTTTCTTTTCATTGATATCACAGGTTTTTTTCTTACTCTTAAGATCTTTCTCAGTAGTGCTTTTGTCTGTTGAATGTTTATTAAGAAAATAATTTTTGTTTGCTTGTTACAAGAAGAAAGAAGTTCTCTGCACACATGGGATAATATTTGTTTGATTTCCTGATGTGGTTCCTGAAGTCAGAGAGTGAAAATGTTGATATTGCCTCTTGAGATTAATATCACAGGAAAGTAGTCTTTTCCATTGTGTGTGCACAATCGCCCGGATTTACTTACTTTTTCAAAATTATCACTATAATTCTTGTACTATAGACCCCTCAGAACGGGCTATTAGTGGTTGTTACTGTTGGTTTTAACATGATACATGATTTTGTGGTCAATAATTTCTCTGAAAGACTTTCAGCAAAGCCTTTACCAAGTTGTAAGTTTGCTGACAGAGTTGAACATTCTTTCTCTTCCCCAGCTGGATGCAAGTTCAAAACCATTGCCTACTCTTAGCTTTGGCCTTTTGCTCTTTCTATTGCTGGATCTGCTGCATTTACTACTTTGAGATTAATTTTTCTGTGAGGGAAGAACACTCAGAGACTGAGAAGCTATTCTATTAGGCTGAATCCAGTGTCTCCTTAAATGAGAAATCACCTAAAAATAATATTGGAATAATATCACAGAGCATCCAAACAAGCAAAAGAAATAAAAAACAAATGAAAAAAACAGACTGCCTTCTGTGCCTTCAGGTGGAGCAAATCTGGCCTTCAGTAAATATTTTCCCTTGGTTTGTGATTTCATAGCTGAGCGACTCCCAACAGAACCACCTGTTCACCAGCTTTTTACCAGCCCCAAGCTACTCCTTTCTCCCCCAAGCCTCCCAAAAATGTTCCTGCTTTGAGCACCCCCAAAACAAAGCCCCTGAAACTGCTATGGTTGCCTGCCTGGCTGTCACATCCCCTCTTCCCTCCTACGCTGGTCTTAGCACCAGCTCTTTGCCTCTCCTTGGCCATTCTGGTCCACTGAGTCCACCCATTTGTTCACCTTTCACCACAGAAAGCAGTTCCCCTTCTTCTGGGGCATTGCTCTGCTAGCAATTTAGCAATTAGCTCTGGTAGCAATTTAAGAAAACCTGGACGCCAGCTGGGACTTCCAAGGAAGAAAAATAAGATGTGTCTGAGACAAAACAGGTGCACCACAGCTCTGGGTTTGGTGAGCTCTAACAATACATCTGATGAAGCAGCAAAAATATTTTGGGTAACCTTAAGAAAAGCTGTCTCCTGCACTACATTATCATTAATAATGGCACATTCTTGGTTTCAGTAAGTATATCCAGGATGTTTATTTTAAGGAGAAAGGGCACAGTTTATTTTGCACAGAACCTGCCTGGGAATGTTTGTCATGATGTGTCAGTGACAATCCCAAAGACCTGGTGCTGCCTTCTTTGCCTATCACTGCCTCCCTTAGCTTCCATCAGTTTGCTTACTTGGTATTGAATGTATCTCCCCCAGTGAAATGTAGGTAGTATTTTTGACAAAAAGAGCCTTTGTATAATTGATATCTGCAAGAAACTGACTCCAAAAGCATGTTTTAACCTGTGTATTTTGTAAACACAACATGAAAAATTCACAGAGAATTTCTGTTACATCCTGAGGCAACTGTGAGTCTTTTCCAAAGTAAAGGCTAAGGAGCTCTATGGTGTATAAGGAAGAGAAAGTGAACAAAGAGATGCCAGACGCGAGTCTACAGGTAGAGCTTGCAATTAGTATGTCTTGTGCACCCAGCAAAAGCTCTTTATTGTGCTGTGGCTGCAGGACAGACAACCTCATGGAGGCACAGCATATTCTGCCAGCAGGTTTTTTGGTGGCTTAGGGACTTCACCTTCCTGAACAGCAGAAGGTGCACTCACCTGGATTTTGCTGCAAGCACAGATAATATCAAGTCCCCAGAGTCCCACCATTGTAACAGTGTCAGCTATAGGATGTGTATTTTCCATGCCCTGAGCTGACCTTGGGAGTGCAAAACTTTGGCAAAGCCTTACTGCGTAGACATGGCCTAAGGCAGGTAGGATTTGCCAAACGTGGTGTTTAATGAGACAGCCAAGTGTGTGTAGCACACAGCAAGTTCAGTAAAGCCCCTGAGGGCTGGGGTCCGAGGAATGTGCTGTGATGGAGCAAAAGAAGCCGATGATCCTTTTCATCCACCTCCCTGTTAGGCTGAGCCTGGCTCCTCAGGGCACAGGGACACCAGCAGAGCTGCCTCTCTCCTGCAGTGTTTATTGGTGCCTCTCTGCACTGCCTGGGCTCTGTCCTCCTGTCTGGGTGCTCAGGGCACAGCCGTGTCCTCAGAGCACTTCCACAGGCAGCAAGAGAAGGGCCCAGAGGTGCTGTACCTGCCTGGTGCAGAGCCAGGCAAAAGCCATGTGCTGTCATGGAAGCACTGCCCAGGCAAGGGGAGGGTGAGCCCAGAGGGAGGATATCAGGCAACCACTAGAGATGCTTCAGCTGTGAGTTTACTCCCTTATTATCAGCTCCTGGTATAGGAGATTTTATGTGGGATCCCCAAATTTGGATGCTGTAATTTGGTGCCACTACAGAACAATCAAGTATGTAATTTTTTTTGGTAAGAAACATCGTTATTCTGAAATGCATGTTTCCTGGTTTGAATAGTTTTTATCTCAAGGATTTAAGGTGCAGCAGTTGCATGTTATTGTATTCCCCTAGAATGTTTTGACACAACCATTGCAAATTCTGTATCTCTTTTGTAAGTAAACCTGCACCTCTGCACAAATGAGTGCATCACATCACAGACACACAGATCAAACCTGCCTACTGCCCTGTAATTGTCAACATTTCTACAGTTGGATACACGAAGAAAAGATTAACAAGTGGATTTCTAAAGAGTCCAAAAGACAAATGAGGTTTTTGTGGGACGGTCTATTTTGTCTCTTATATATATATATATATATTTTTTTTTTTTTTTTTTTTTTTTAAGGCAAATTCTTCCATGTCTTCTGCTACAAGAGCTGCTCACTGATCTTGGGGTTTGTGGATGAGGAGCAGAATCCATTGCTCTGTACACAGGAGAGAAAGCACTGATCATTGACTGAGGCTTTCCTGTCTTTAGCACCTGCTGGGAGATGTAACACCTTTTGAATCTCAGAAAATGACACTTGATTGAATTATCTTTCATTTCTGGATAAAGTTATTTTCTCCTTTCACACAGCTCTTGTTCTTTTAGATTGATTTAATCACAGATTAGATCCATTTGAAATATATGGGTTTGAGAGACCTCCTGGACAACCATCAGACCACACCCAACAGATTTGTCTGTATTTTGCTGGCAAAAGTTTAAACTGCAAGGAGAACCTAATGGGAATGTTAGGAGTTGCAGTTTTAAAAACTGAGCTCTCTCTGAACACAATCTCTTTGAACGTGAGAGAAATTAGTTCTGTTTCATCAAGGAGATAAGAAAATAAACATGATCATTCCTTGGCTCTGAAATGCTTTTTATTCAACAAAGTAATCTGTGTTTGGAAAGACATTTAGAGCTTGCCTGCTTGACAGTAGCTTGTTCTCTGACACTCTCCTGTAGATTTTAAGAAAAAAATTGAATAATGCTGCTTATTTTGTAGAATTTGGAAATATTTTGAGAAGACAAGACGCTGTGAAGCAAACAGAAGTTTAAGGCAGAAGGAAGGCCTGGAGGGAGGAAGCATAGCCCTGGAAGGGTAGGGCATAGCACAGAGGGGGAGGAGAGAGATTGAAGCGCTGCCTGCTTGGCTCCCTCTTCTCCCATTTCTGCTCTGTGAGCACAACCTGAAGCAGATCTCCTGCTGATGTGGAGGTCACACGGTTTATTTCTGTCACACTCACATGGCCTTGCCAATACTGGGGGAGCATGAATCAGAAGCTTATTTTAAAACCAAAAATATATGGTGTCACTTTGTATTCTGATAGCATCCAAGGACCAGTTAGGATCAGGGCTTTGTCTGTTACATGCTGAATCTATTACAAGGTGAACACATGTGGTATTTGATCGTCTGAGAAATTTCAACCCAAGATGCAACCAGCTGTAGGAGGAGAAGGGAGGGCAAAGGAGCTGAGTGTTGGGTGGTCTGCATAATGCTGGAAAGGAGGCAGAGAGCTGTATGTAAAAAACTGTCACTTAGAACTATTTAGGCAAGTAACTGAAAGACTTGGAACAGAGGAAAAGACCTTCTTTGTTTAACTAAACATTAAAGACATCTGAAAGATCTGGGGTTGATGTGGGACTGGGGTGGGAGGAGGCAGGACAGGCAGGTGAGCAGATTAATGGCATTGTTGCAGCTTGCCCATATGGTGTTTGGGCTCTATTTCCTCAGCTATGTTTGTCTGCTGGGATATTCTTAATACAAGCTTGATCTGGAAAAATAAAATCAATGTATTTGAAAAGGTCAGCTTCATGAGAATTGTCGGATTGAGTGCCTACTGTTTTTCAGAGCTCGTGATCTGTGTGTGCAGGTGACTGACAGCAGCCATGATTGCCAAACAAATTGGAGAAGAGATGAAGACATGACTTGTGCTGAGGATGTAAAACGGTGAGGAGAGAGAATGAAACCAGTTTGTCACATGTTGCAAAAGTGTCTTTCTCTCTGTCACATATTCCACTTCTTAATTATTCTCTTCAGGCACTCAAATGAAAAGGCAATTTTCAAGTGATCTGTGCATAGATGCTACTGCCATCTCCAGAAGAAAAAAATTAATGCTTGATCAGAATAAGAAATTCATTAAACTCTGGCTACTGATACTCTCCTTCAACCTAAACACCACTTCTGGAATAGGATATTCAAAATCTTCCTGTCTCCTGGAAAGTCAATGGAGTTGGAGGCAGTATAATGGAAACCTCAGCTAGGTATGTAGCATTCAGCAGCTTCACAGATGAGCTTCCAGGAAATCTTTACAGCTTTTGTAATAAAAATAGCATTCATATATGACTTTGTTTATGGTGAGGCCCCAGGGTGAATTGTTTGGGCTTTGTCTGTAAAATTTCTTGCCAGTTGGTCTTGCAGAGAACAAGTGTAAGTTGGAGCCTCGTGGAGTTTAAACTCAGTGAGAAGGAAATAATATTTGAAGAGAAATAATATTTTGGACCCAGCAAGTTTGACACTGGCTAATGCTGCCAGAGTTTGAATATTATTGAATTCGACAATCTTTTCCATCAAATTCCAGAATCATCTGGAACATTCCCTCTTACGTGAAATAAATGCTTGCAAGCTGCCAGGTGATTAACCCTGTTAACTGAGATGTGAGGGTGTCTCAGGAGACTCTGCTTTGTTTTGCTACTGTAATTTCCAGTAAAGATTTGGTCAATTCTTGAAACTGTCTCAAATGATGTATTTTGCAGCTTTAAGTTAAATTCAGACCTGCCAAAAGGTTCTTGATTGTTAGTTTTTCTGGCTGAAACCTGCTGATTTTTCCACTGTGCTTTGTCCATGGAGTTATGGATCGCTGTTTTATCTCTCTGGCTTCAGAAAAGACAAACACTGTATCATCTTCTAAGTGTGAGGGCAAAAAAACCTACTAAAATATTAGCAAGAATTTTCAAAGGGTTGCAAATTAATCAGATATTGTACAAATAAACACTGAGAGTGTAGGCCTAGTGAAAAGATTTAAAGCCTGAAAGAGACAAGCCATTGGTTGCATTTAAAGGAAAGTGTAGAAGTGGAGAAATTACTGGATTTGAGGAGGAATCTAAATTGAGAGATCATTTGGCAGATAAAATGAAAGACTAATCAAGCATAAAGAAAAGCAAAAAATCAGTTACAAAATAAAGCAAGGAAGAAGTAAAATCATTTAAATAATTTAGTCATATTTGCCTTTTCACAGTTGAAATACAGTTAAACAGATCTAAACATTATTTATAGGAAAGAAATGCATTTGGAATGAAAAACCATCAGAAGCATGTGCACATTGCTGCTTTGTAAACCATAAAATTGCTATTTATAAAGAAATGGTGGCTGGGACTAAAGATTTCAAGAAGCATTCCGTCTGTGTATTATCCTTCAGCTGTATCCTGCATCAAATGAGTGACAGGTCTTGTTCTTCCCACACTGGTTAGAGTTTGAAGAGTCCCCAAAGTAAGCAGATCCCAACTTTCTGAGAGGAAAGGCCCAGGACTGGATGAAACATCTTTTTGTATTAGACTTCAGTATTCAAGAGATGAGTTACTATGAGGAAACCTTAAGAAAGTGACGTTGAAAAGACAACTCAGTTTGGTTGAAAAATATAATGACAGCATGCAATAGGAAAGCAAAATCCTGAAGTTTTGCTGCCATGTAAGTGCTGCAATGTCAGATAACCTCCAGCACGGGGCGTGGATGGCAGACAAGGTAATGTGGAAGTCAGATAAACTGAGGCAGGATCTCAAATAGATCCTTCAGGGAAGAGCCAGTTGAGTTTTCCAGGTCAGCACATGCAGCTCTCAGCATCCTTCATTACATAACCTGGGCAGGAGATCCTGCAGCCTCTTGGGCGTGAGCCAGTGTGGAGAGCTGCAGTGTAGGAACCTTCTCTGGCAGGAGCAGGAGGAGATGCAGGACTGACCTAGGAGGTATTTCCCCTACTCATCAAAAAGGAACAGGCACAGAGAAGCCATGGGGAACACAGATTGCCTTCTGTACAGCTCAAGTGTCTCACCTTCTATTTTTAACTGTCTTGTGGAAGCATTTAGGAAAAGCAATATAAAAGAGAAAGAATGTAAATATTATGGTTTCAAGGATATCAGCCCAAATCCAAGTGCAAAAATCTGCCTTTCAGTGAAAGCTTTGAGGGGCTTCTAGTTCAAAGGATTCCAGAGCTGTGGAGAGGCAGCTATGCACATTACTTTCTTCTCTATCAGTTAGTCCTTATTGATGGCAGCCAAGTTGAAATAAGGAAGAGTATCTCTCTTAAACAGTTCTGAGAGGATAGAAAAACTGCCATGGGAAAGAGCAGCTACAAGGTGGTAAATACTTTTTCAAATGACAGAATAATTTTTCTGCTGAGGTTGGAAATGTCAGTGTTGAACTTTTGCTTGTGCCTCAGACCTCCTGAAGCAATTGGCTATTTTAGTGTGTGGCAAAATAGTCAGAGAAACTCCCCACAGTTACAAGGCTTTGTTTTAGGAGGGCTTTTTGTCCTGCATAACTGTAATGATCTTATTCTGGTTTATCTTTCAGGATTAAAGGACTACTGGCAGATATTTTAGGATTAAAATATGGGTTAGACTTGGCTTTCTGTTTTGTTTTTTACAGAGTCTGATATGAGTGGGAATATCTGTGAGCTGGAAAATACATCCACAATACCCCTGGAAACTGCATGTTTTTATTTAAATGGTCCTGCTGTGTTTAGTGTTAGAGCTAAAAAGGGAACCTGGTATGAACAGAAAATGAAGCAGAAAACTACAGTTTGGCTTTCCCAAATCAGTGAATGGCAAAATCAAGAGATTGTAAAAAGTGGATGCTTAAAATGTTTTGGATTTAATCATGCTTTTTGTTAAGACTCACTTTTAAAAATACACTGTTTGCTAAAATAGCATCTTACATGTTCACAGACTGCAGAGCAACCTGCAAAATTCTGACCAATTAATTATTTGGTACATTAGCATAAGCATACTTTCAAAGATTTTGATAGTTTTTGTTTTATTTCTCATATCTGTATTCACATAAGGTCTCTGTGTTGGCAACATGAAAATGCTTTCTAATTTGTGATTAGTGCAGAGCAGCAAGAGAAGAGTTGGCAGGAATAGCTCTTAACAAGTAAGGTATGTGATTCTTTTTTATCTCTCAGCCAGGGCTTTGTCAGAGCAGAGGAGCTGAGACTGGTTAATACTCAGACAGCCTGCTGAAGTTCCAGTCTGGTTTTCTAATTTAGAAGTGCTACTGGATGACATAAATGGTAGGAATAATTGTGAATTCTATGTGAAAAAATCAAATGGGAGTCATGGAGACTGTAGGAATAGGTCTAAAGTAGCCCTTTGAAAGTTAGAAACAGCTTCAAAAATTATTATACTCTCAGTGTGATTGTTTTGCTTATATTTCAAGTGAATATTTTTCTCACTATGCATTGTTTAAGCTCACATTATGTTTATTTGCAATCTAGTTCAAATCAAGGAAACTAAAAACACTGAAGGTTAATCAGTGAGCTGTCCTTGAAAAAATACAGGACTGAGAGACTGGACAAAGCCAGCAAGAAAAAGAGT